CGGCCGGCGCCAGAGAATGGCTTTTACCTTCATCAGCCTCCTGCTGGCCGCCATCTTGGGTCTGGTGCTGCTGCTTCCCCAGAATGCATCGCGGTCGGCCGGGCGGCTGGAAGCCTCACTTCCTGGAACGGGGGCGGGGCGAGCCGGGAAGAGCGCGGCCGGGGCGGGAGCCTGCCGTGTGCGGTCCGGCCCGGGGCGTCCTGTGAAGCTGTAAATGACCGGAGAGCGAAAGACCTTTGCCTCATGTAGCCTCCAATCCGACGGCCCATACATACGGTGCCTGGCGCGTAATAGGTGCGCGATAAACATGGTGTATACAAAATAACTGAATAATCAAGATATTTCAGGCACTGCTAATCATTGTGAAGAAATAAAACTGGGAGATGAGAAAGTGACTCTGGGACTGAAGAGGTGATAGATACTGTCGGTCAAGTGCCTGCATGTCCAAGTAGGACCTGAGTTTGGGTACCCACATAAAAGCAAGCACGATCCCCTGCACTAGGGGAGGACAGATACAGGCGGATGCCTGAAGTTCTCTGTCTAACCAGTCTAACTAAATGGGTGAGCCTCAGATTCAAGAAGAAAATCTGTGAAGTGCAAGCATGGAAAAACAACTGTGGACCTCGGGTCTGCGCATGCGTGTGTGTGCATGCCCACACTAACTCTCACATACAGCCTCCACACACAAGTAACTACAAGGATCTACTTTCAGGAAGTCTCACTGAAGAAATAGTATGAATAAGAGAGCAGAGCATGGGCTGGAGAGATGGCTCAGAGGTTAAGAGCACTGCTTGCTCTTCCAAAGGTCCTGAGTTCAATTCCTAGCAACCACATGGTGGCTGACAACCATCTGTAATGAGATCTGGTGCCTGTGGGGATATGTGCAGACAGAACATTGTATACATAGTAAATAAATAAATCTTTAAAAAAAAAAAAAAAAGAGAGAGAGCAGAGCAGCCAAACATAAGTGGATTATGCCTTTAACTCTGGCACTTAAGAGGTAGGCAGGACTATTAAGTTGTAGCCAGCCTAGGTTACATAGGATGATTCTATCTCAAAAATAGTAGTAGCTGCCAGGAGTAGTGTCACACACTTATAATCTCATAATTCTAGCAGTTTAGAGAGTGAAGCAGAAAGAGCCAAAGAGAAAGAAACTACTAGATGGTAACCACAGGCAGTGCTTTTACCAGTGGAGAGGTTTTGTTGGGGGGGATTGAGATGTAGATAAGGTCTCCTGTAGCCCAGGGTGGCCTCAAAATTCACTATTTAAACCAAAGATGACCTTAAACTCCTGATCCTCTTCCTCCCACCTTCAAGTGCTGGGTGTGCCTTTGAGTTACCTGTACTCCTATCAGTAACTTCAATAAGCTCCTTAGAAGGAATCTTTCCTGGGGTCTTTTGGTGCCCTTTCTACCTAGGATGAATAGTCTCCCAAGAGAAATCACGTGACACCAGTGAGGAACGGTGTAGTAGTCCACAGAGATCTCGGACTCCATGTTTCAAGAAGGCTGGGGCTCTAAGGAGGCACTGTAAGAAATACAGAGCTGGCAATGTGAGGCCAACTGAGACGTGAAGAGAATGCCTTGCTATCCATCATTCGGCTGACTCAAACTGTTCTTTCAGGAGGACATTTAACTCAGAAGCTGTCAATTTGTTTCAAACAATATAACTCTTTATTGTTTGTTTTTTGTTGTTGCTGTTTGAGGAAAAGGCTTGCTATGTAGTCTTGGCTGGCCTTGAACTCATAGAGACCCACCAGTCTCTGCCTCCCAAGTGCTAGGATTAAAGATGTGGGTTATGATGTCCATCTTGAAATAATATAACTCTATAAATAATTCTCCTCAGGCCAGTGAGATGGCTCAGCTAGGAAAGGTGTTTGCCAGTAAGACTTACGACCTGAGTCTGATTACTGGAACCCACGTGTGGTAGAATCAGTTACCACAAGATGTCCTCTTATTTCCCCACAATATGAGAATGTATACACACACACACACACACACACACACACACACACACACGTACTGCTGGTCCAGAGGACCCAATTTTTTTTTAAGATTTATTTACTTATTATGTATACAGTGTTCTGCCTGCATGTATGACTGCCCAGAAGAGGGCACCAGATCTCATTACAGATGGTTGTGAGCCATCATGTGGTTGCTAGGAATTGAACTCAGGACCTTTGGGAGAATAGCCAGTGCTCTTAACCTCTGAGCCATCTCTCCAGCCCTCCAAATTTGATTTCTAGCACCCATATTGTGGCTCACAACCATCTATAACAACTATCTCTAATCTCAGGGTATCTGAGACTCTCTTCTGGCCTCTGAGGGCACTACATACACCTAGTGGTGTGTGTGTGTGTGTGTGTGTGTGTATGTATATACACAAAAAAAACCACAAAATACACGTAAAAATACATTTAAAAATTAAAAATTATACAGAGGAGTCAGTCTTGGTGTGGTGAAAGGGAGACAAAGGATGGCAGAAACAAGAATAATCAAAATTTTGATTTTGTTTTGAAACAGAGTTTTGGTGTATATCTCTGGCTATCCTGGAACTCACTATTTGGACCAGACTGACCTCAAACTCGCAGAGATCCATCTGCTTCTTGCTCCCAAGTGCTGGGATTAAAGGTGTACTATAGTACAGTTGGCTTTTTTTTTTCTTAGTGTGTGGTGTGTGTGTGTGTGTGTGTGTGTGTGTGTGTGTGTGTGTGTGTGTTTTGTGCCTGTTGAAGCCTTAGGAGGGCACTGGATCCCCTAGAGGGACAGACAAGTGTGAGTCACTATGCTGGGGGGGCAGCCAGTGCTCTTAACCCTGAGCCATCTCTCCAGGCCTACTACCTCTTTCTCAAACTAGTATCTTCCTTAGACCGTGATACATGACACTTATGACTAGATCTGCACACTGAAGCAGATAGGACATTCTCTTTCCTTCACTTCCTAGCATCATTCCTCTCTAGTCCTGTGGTATCTCCAAGGAACTCTGGACTCCTACAGAATCATGTTTGAAAACAGCCTGTGTAATCTCTCACTTTGTAAGAAAGCAAGATTAAACCTCCAAGTCTGTAACTTGCATATAGCTTGTACACAGTGGTGTCCTGAGTCCCACAAAGGAACAATGTGGAGACCAAGAAAGACACTCCACCACCTTCTGGAAGACCTCTGACATGCTGCAGAGGGTTCTGGCATGACTAGCCCAGATGGTGACCATAGGGACTCTAGTGATCCATTCCAAACCCTCAACCTCTGACAGGCTGACCTCCAGACCTAACTGCCTGATGTCCCACTTAAGGCTGCAGCAAGTCACACAAGCTGTGAAACCACCCCCACCACCATGAAATAACAAGCTAGTTGCCAGGTGCCCTGGAAAGCCACCTACACTCATGGATCCTCTGTAAAGCAGTGCCCTGTAAGGGCTCCATAAAGACGATCCTTGTAACCCATGACAAAGCTGAAGCAGATGTGGTGTGCCTCCCTCACAGCACATCTGCTTCAGCTTGGGAAATGACTATCCTGAACAGTAATTCTCATGTTCTTGTTTCCCACAGGTATTTTCTATAGGCTCAGGAGACTGGTTTGGAAAATAAGAATAGCAATCAGAAGGTCAGCTGCTGAGTACACACACACCTTAGTTGTAGGGCCCAGTGCTTCCTAGGCTAGGCAGGCACCATAAGGAGTTTCTGATGGAATGTATGAATACAGAATGCCAGGTGCTGGTGTGTTCCTTGTAAGCCACTTAGTGCCAAGGTCTAGAGAAGAGGAAGGAGCCAGACTGAAGGAGAGTTCATGAGCCACAAAAGTAGCCAGAAGAAAGCCACATAGGTGATTTTGTGTGTGCGTGGGGACGGGGGTCTTGTTTCTCTTTGGGGGGAGGAGGAGAGTCTGCTGTATCTCCTTTGGACCTTGCCAACAACCTGGCTGAAGACTGGCCTTCACTCCTTGCCCAACTTGAGGCCTCTGCCCAACACCCTGATGGCCAGTGTACACCCCGAAGCTCCAGGCCCTGCTGACAGGTGGTATCCAAGTGTTGGAGCTAAGCAGGCCAGAAGACCAAGTCGGACAGCACCATCTGTCCTTCCTGCCTGTCTGGTCCTAGGTCTTTATTCGGCTTGTATGGGAAAGGCACTGCATTTACCTCCTCTGCATCCACTCTGGGCAGAGACACAAAGGTATATTAGATATACCCATTCCTCAAGGGAGAGGCAGCAGCAAGCAGAGTGACCAGGGTCACCAAAGGGCTGTAGTGTCATGGGGACTCCAAGCCCAAACTGGAGGCCAGAATGGCGTCCTGGAGTGGGGTGCTACCAAACTAATACCAAAGGACAGAAAAAAGTGAGCAGCAGGTGAGAGGACAAGAACAGGGTTTGAGCCAGGTGTGGTGGCACACTCCTGTAGTGTTAACTACTTGGTAGCTAGGCTGAGGCAGGAAGATAAGTGCAGAGCCAGCCTGAGCAGTTTAACAAGATCCTGGCTCCAAGTAAGATTTTTTTTTTAAAGATTTATTTATTTATCATGTATACAGAAGAGGGGGCCATTACAGATGGTTGTGAGGCACCATGTGGTTGCTGGGAATTGAACTCAAGACCTCTGGAAGAACAGCTGGTGCTCTTAACCTCTGAGCCATCTCTCCAGCCCTCCAAGTAAGATTTTAAAGGGAGCCAGGAGGTGGGGGCACACGCCTTTACTCCCAGCACTCAGGAGGCAGAGGCAGGCAAATCTCCGTGAGTGGAGGCCCAGTCTGGTCTACATAGTTCCAGGAAAGCCAGGGATACACAGAGAAAACCTGTCTCAAAAATTTTTTTTAAATAATAATAATGAGCTTGGTATGGTGGCAGGTACACACCCTTAATCTCAGCACTTGAAAGGCATAGGTAGGCTGATCTCTGTGAGTTTGTGGCCAGCTTGGTCTACATAGCCTGGTCTACATAACAACTTCCAGGCCAGCCAGGACATAGCATGACCCTGTCTCCAAAACACACACACACACACACACACACACACACACACACACACACTCACACACAATGCCACCATCACCAACAAAATCTTAAAAAGACACCCAAGCATGGTGGCACACACCTTTATTACAGCACTTGGAAGGCAGAGGCAAGATCTCTGTGAGTTCTAGGCCAGACTGGTAGACAATACAAGTTCCAGCTGGCCAGAGACACAGATAAGACCATATTTTAAAAAAATGGTTAGGAAGCTGGAGTGATGGCACAGGAATTATGAATGTTTACTGCTCTTACAGAAAATATGGGTTCAGCTACCAGCACCACATGGTGACTAAAAACCACCTGTAG